TTGGTGAGTGGATGGAATCACTTACATTGCCCATGGGTGGTCCTTTTGAAGATGAGAAATACCAGTTAAGTAGCTTTCATATTTATGTGGTCACTAAGAATCAACATCAACTTGATGGCACATAGTCAGACAATAAATCAATCAATCAATCAGTGTATTTAGTTTGAAATTCGTGAAAAGGATATGAAAGAAATTTGATTTCTCTAGTTTACATTTCAAGCTTGCACTAAGCCAGGTCCTCAATTAGAAATAGATGTAAAATGACAGTTCAAACAATAGAAGAATTTACCTTTACCACTGAGACTTAACAGTTATTCTCCTTTTTCTTCTATATACCTATTTCCAAACATTTACCTGAGGAATCTTGTAAGTACTTAAGATGTTGGCCATGTGAATAGAATTTTCAGAGGTGAGTCCCCCAATGTTGGCCATGACTTCCTCTTCAGTGATACAGTAATAATTGAGTGGATCCCCTTTTCTTAGAAAGAGAAGATCCAAAGTGGTCCAAGTGGTTCTCCATGAATTGTACGCATTGTCATAAATCTTGGATCCTAATGTGTTGCTGGGTAACAGATCGGGATTCTTATTGATTTCTTTGATGGCAAAAATAAAAGCAAGGACATGCTGGTAGTTTTTAGGGATTAGACTGCCAAGAGAATTTTGAATGTTAGATCTTAAGGGCTAATAATTAAGTGACTTGCAGCTTAGATCATCGCTTGCCCATAGAGCTCAACTGAATATCGTTCTCTATATGATGGGAAACTCTTTCTGAAATAAATGCTTCAGATATTCCCCTAAAGCAAAGTGAATAAGTTTCTTTCCTCTGTCATTAATGCACACACTATATATCTGTCTATATATTTTAGGTTTCTTTTTTAAAATTGATACTCTTTTCTTTTGTACTTTATTATATATCTCAATGGTGTAATTCATACAAGTTATAGATGTCATAAAGAAACTATGCTCTTAAATCAGAGAGATGGGGGAGACAGACAGAGAGACAGAGAGGATCTAATCTAATATAAGGATACACAACATTTTGGATGTATACTTTGGATATACAAAATTGCTTCTCCCTTTACGCACCCAAAGTACATTATTAAATATAATATATCCATAGACATACTTTGTCAGAGTTTCTAATGAGAATTCTTGAAAGGAATTAGGGATGTAAGAATTCCTAATTACTCTCATTCAACTTTCCCAAGGTACTATACCCTACAAATGAAACAATATCTTAGAATTAACATTTTTTTAATCTTATTATTTATTCCTTATTGTCTACCAGGGGATCTAAATTGTACAGAGAGAACTATTAGGGCTCTGAGCAAATCCATCTTCACACACATGCTATCTATATGTTTTCAGTCAAAAGTTAATAGCTGAAACCTGCCCCCCACCTCAATTTCTGCTATAAGTGTGCTTGGCATACAAAATGTCAAAACATGGAGAAAATTAAAAGGCAGAATAAGAGATCTATCATTATTTAGAAATAGTCATTTAGGTGGGGAAAGTAAGAATGATCATCAGACCCAAACACAATCTTCCAAGAATGAAAAACCATTGAAGGTTTTTTAAGGAAAGAATGTTATGGGGTCAGAGACAACTTAGATAAAAATGAAGAATTACTTACTAAGCTTGTGTTGGTGAAGAAAGTGGATGTTCCCTAAACTTCTATTTCCTATAATTACCAAGTATCATGGATACAAATTCTCCAATTATAATTTCATCTGAAAGATCTGAAGGATGTGTGGAAACTTTTCGCTGATAAGGATCTTTTAGGTTCAAATGTTTCCTGAAGGAATGGTTGAGTTTTACAAGCAGGAAGATTAGAAAAAGAGCTAGGAGCTCTTGAGGCAAGCCCCACCCCAATCTTACCACCATGATAAACAAGTACCCAGCACCTTGATCAAAAATTCAGGAAATAAAAGTTAATAATTGTGCTGTTGTCAGATTCGGATCAAAGAGTGATATTAAAAAAAAAATCTTTTGGCAGGGCTTTTATGCAGTAAGCACAACTTGTCAGAGCTGAAGTGGCTTTGCAGTCATTGATATTCTATCTCTCACAATTTTCTTCCATTAATCACTGTTATTATGGCAGTTGTAGGCATCAAATCCCTGTTGACAAAGAAAATGATCTCAGCAGAAACTCTGTATTATATACCACCCAAAGTCACTTTGTTTGAGTTAGGTGACATTTATTTATTTGCACCACATATTTATAACTTTTCTCATAAACAACTCAAGGGGCAAACATATACAACCTATCTTCCTCCTCCTATTTTCCCTAAACAGCAACCCTGTGAGGTGAAGGCTGATAGCGAGCAACCTGCCCAAGATCATCCAGCTGGCTTTAATGGACTAGAACTCATGGTATCCTGATTTCTAGCCTGATGCCTTAACCACTAGCCCAGGGGTCTTCAAACGTGGCCCTTTTATGACTTGTGGACTTCAACTCCCAGAATTCCTCAGCCAGGCACACTGACTGAGGAATTCTGGGAGTTGAAGTCCACAAGTCATAAAAGGGCCAAGTTTGAAGACCCCTTTACTAGACCATACTGGCTCTTATAAATTGAGTAAGTAAACAAATCAGCAATAAAATGCTTCTCTTCCCTCATTCTTCCACTGTGGGAATTGACAAGCCTTTCCATTTTTGCCCATATAGGATTCTTACTGCTGTCAACATATGTAATAAATTTCCATTTTTTTTCCAAATTCTTCATCCAATAGTTCTAAAAAAAAATCTTCTGGTTTCAATTTTATACAGTGGTACCTTGGTACTTATCCTTAATTGGTTCCAGTGAATACCAAACAATGAGTACCAAACAAATTTGGAATAATATAGTGAGTCACAAAGCAGCTGACACCAACAAGTTTTACCTCAATAAGTACTGAGATAAGATTTTCACATCAAAATGTGTTGAGTATCAATTTCAATGAATTTCAAAGCAGTTGAGCTGGGTGCGGTTTTGATAGGATGCATCTGGCCCGGGGGCTGGCAGTTTGACATCCCTGCTCTATATAATGACATTAGCTAATTTTTTCTTTTAACGACCTTGATATCCCTTGCATCAGGGTGGAGTTGGGGCAACTGAATGGAGCTCAAGTTTTTACTGGCCAGATGCCCTTCCTGATGTCTATGCAGAGTTCTCAGCAGACAATTACTCATTGTGCCCAGAGAGAGAAATATCTGCCACTACACATAGGATCAAACCCACAGCCTCCTGATTATGAGAAGAGAGCTCTACCTCTAGGTCACTTCACCCCTCAATGACATTAGCAATTTAGTTGTAGAACATCTAAAATTGTACAACATCTTTACATCTCTCCTGTGCTTCTACTTTATCTTTTAGTAAGATGCTGAAATCTTCCATTCTAACATGTTAAAGACAAAATGAGTGTTTAAGTGACAAAGTGGAAATATGTGTCAGTATAGTTGCATTCTCCAAATATGAAAAGAACAGAAGAAGATATAATTATTCTTTATACTTCTTCAAAAAAAATCAAACTAACAACTGACAAATACAGTGGTACCCTAGTACTCATTGTTAATTTGTTCAGGGAAGCATGATGAGGACTCAAAACGATCAGTACCAAACAATGTTTTCTCATAAGAAATAATGGCAGCCAATGCCAAGAAGTTCAAGCTTATGCATCAAACAAACAATGAATAGCAGCACAAAATTTTCATGTTGAAATGTATTGACTACCAAATTTGATGAGTTTGAAAGCAGTTGAGTACCAAGGTACCACTATATACTTTACTTCATTCATTCATTCATGGAAACTAATTCCTAAGAGAAGGGAGTGGTCAAACTAGCACTTTGCTGCTACCCCAAAAATTATACAACTATATCTGCATGGTCACTAAGCTTTTGAGTGATAAAATTATGCTGGTTTATTTTATTGTTATTATTTCTATTGTATTTAATGCATGATTTACTATGTATATACCATTTTTAAAGCCACTGAAATTTCTGGGTTTTTTTTTCAATTAAAGCGATGTAAGAGTTTGGAATAATATAAAGCAATATGCCTACCTAATATACCTCTTTGGTTGGCATTTTAAGAAGTTTTTTTTTTTAGAAAAGCAATGTCTATAAGACCAACCTGATGGACCTATAGAAATATGGTTTAGTCATAGAGAACCTAATTTCAAGCTGAAAGAAGAATTGCCATTCCTCACCCTTCACAGAGGATGGTGAGTTTTGATAGAGGACCAAGCCTCTTTTTTTCCACTGCTTCAGGCAATGATGCATGAGATCCCTCTCTCAAAACTCACCACCTCTTTCAAAGTGCATCAAGATCAAAGCCTTCCAGACAACTGTTCAGCCACCATGATAGAGCAGTAGTCAGCAGCTGTATCTGTCTCTTTCAGCAACGAACAGGAAGAAATTTTGACAGGAAGTTGCCCAGGAGTCCAGGGGGAGGGAACAGCCACACCCAATTTTAATGAGTTAAGTAGCTGGTGCCTACAAAGTGGTCTTCATTCTCCACAGTTCATCCAATTGCCCTTCTAATAAAACTACAGAGTTTCTTTTTCCAATATGACCATTTCAGCAAAGTGATGGGCAGAAGAAATAAGTATTCTTCTGAATTAAAAGATTGTGAGATGAGAAGGGAGAATTTATCTGGCTATTAAATTATCTCTTCCTCCTTTTAACCAGCATTGCTTTCTTTGGATAGGGAAAGCAAGACTCGGTTCCCCAAATCTGTTATGATCCCAAGATCATTTCTTTCTTGCTTGATGAGGAGTAGAAAAGAGATGGGTTTGGACCATAGAATTTCTTCAACTGGAAAAATAGTTGAGTAGCTTTGGGAAAGGGGTTTGCCTACCTCATAATTGTCAGAGTTAATTAATTGATTTCTTTTTGGAGGAAACCACAGAACACTTAAACACTTAATAGTTTACCTTTACTATTAACAACAACTTCATGAGGCTCAGTAGGTTGCATTATGAATCACTCAGATGATAATTATTGTAATCTACAACTTTAGTTATGCATAAAACCAACAGATACTCTCGTTCATTGTTCCAGGCAAAGTGCTATGATGAAGATGTGGCTGCACTGCTGTAATTGGAGCCAAATTCCTTTGGCATTCAAAAGAGCTCACATACTTTGCCATGTGTTTCTACTCTCTCTCCTTGTCCTCCAGGCTTCTTTCAGCAAGACCTTTAACCCCATGTGTGGTGACAAACAACATTTTAAGCTTAATTTCCCTACCCTCTCCAGTGATATAATCATTGGAGAATTTGTGTCTACTATATATCCTGAATTGCCTTTACTCCACTTTGTGGAACACCCAGAAGAATTCTTGCGTGGATGGCAAGTACTCTTTTGAAAGAAACCATGACCTACCTTTCATGTTTTTGATTATATTCAATAGATTCTGGTTAAATTTGTTCACAATGTAGATGAGAATTAAACTGGTTTAGGCATGATTCTTATTTAATATATCTCTTGTGGTTAATGATATTTCAGGTGCTGGAATGTAGCTGTTGAATGTACCCTTGTAGACATGGTTTTTCATATGGCTACTGTTACACGTGAATTAATCTTCTCATCAGAAAAACTCCCTGGGGTGATTTTAATAGCACTGTTCCTCTATTCCTTTATTTAGTATATAAAATGGAAAAAAAACCTGTCAAAAATATTTAGCATGTATATTTTAATACAATTTATATATATATGGTTCTCATACTATATCACACCTTATGACATTTGACCAATTATTCCTTATTTGCAAACCCTTCTATATACTAAGATTTTTATTTTAAATAGATTGTGGTGGCTTGAGATTTCTACTTATTATGCAGAACTTATTATGAGACATATTTAAATATATCAATGTGATAAATTTTTACATCTTGAGTATATGGATTCTCCTAACATTTGGCACAATCCATCAGTTTCTGCCCTCCAGTTGCTTTCCTGCCCTACATATATGAAATAATCCTTTTAATGGCATTAAAACCTTCTCAAAATGTGATGCACAGACGCCCACCTGATCCTCAAGTGACATTCAGACACTCCACCTCAGCTCTTCATTCTATGCTTTCCTCACCTCTAGAATATCTTAACTAGTGAATTTTACAAATCATTTTTTTTTCTTTTTCATAGAACTGCTTCAGAACATAGGTGCACTGTTCACTTCTCTAATACACATTAAAGCAGACAAATACATCATTTTAGGCAAAGAGAAAAGCACTATCAAAGAAGTCTACCTAAATCTAATCCTTGTCACATTCTAAGATTGTAGAACTAACTGAAACTCTTCTTGCAGGCCGTTGCCTAAAAACCTACAGCATATCCTAGCCTTCAGTTTTGCCATTCAGGAGATCAACAGGAATGAGAATTTGTTACCCAACATCACTTTGGTGTCCAAGGTCTATGACAATGGTTTTCAAGCACTGAAAGCCTCTGAGAACCTTTTGACACTTTTCTTTGTTGAAGGCCATTGTCCCCTCAATTATAGGAGGGGAAAGGAGCAAAACATCATGGCTGTCATTGGTGATCTCCCTTCCCAGAACACCATACAGATAGCCAACATATTAAATGCTTACAAAATTCCACAGGTAGGTATCCGGGCTCAAATAAATGCATAAGAATGGAAAGAGTGGTGGTTAAAAGTGGAGAGAACCCCTCAAAACAGCTGCAATATTGGGGAATTGATTTGGGGTAGTTTTTATTTATTTATTTATCTTTCCAGAGAAATGTAATGCATCAATTACTATTACAACCACAGTAATTCTTAATAAGCACAAACATCATATTTAGTTTGTAAGAAATTTTCTAGGTATCATTGTTTCTGTCTTCTTCTTTTTCATCTTCTTTTTTCTTTGGGTGTTGAGAGATACAAAATTCTGGTTCTTGCTCTTCTGGTGGACTCAACCTTTGCTAATTGATGCTGTAATAGTGTGTCTGATGTTGTCTCTCCATCTTCTGGGTATGCCTCAAGTTCTTTGACTTTCTCCTCTTTCTGTAAATGCCACAACAATGTTAAATACATTTATCAGTAAAGCACTAGTTATCTTAGCCTTATAATATAAAATGCCAGATGAATACTCTCAGATACTGTCAGGTCCTTAATGAATAAAGCTCCTCTCTTGTTACTCATTCCTCTCTCCTCTCTATTTCTGGTTAGCACAATCAAAGACTGAGATGATTTTTGTCTAAATGGAATGCTAATGATGGTCTGGTTGCAAAAGCTCTGAGGAAAGACTTGTTGAGCCCCAGGTTTAGTATTTGTCTTTCCCATCAAGATTTTCTATGGAAAAACTGTATACAAAAGAAATGTACTTACTTCCATTTTTTGATGTGTCTGCAGAAGCAACACCTAGTCTAAAAGTACATCATTATTATTCCCTCCCTGCAGCTCAGTTATGGCTCTTTTGACCTTGCATTGAGTGATAAAATGCAGTTTCCTTCTTTCTTCTGGATGACTCCTAATGAAAACCTCCATTATGTTGGGATTATTCAGCTCTTGAAACATTTTGGATGGAATTGGATTGGCCTTCTCATCCCAGAAGACACCACTGGAGAGAGATTTTTCAGAATTCTGAGGCCACAATTAATTCAGAGAGATATTTGCATTTCTTTCATTCAATTTATTCCAAGACTGATAAATTATGAGCCCAGTAGCATCTGGAACAATAATCTAAATAGCATAGGACGTTCCTTATGGAATAGTAAAACCAATGTAATAGTTGTTTATGGAGACATGCAATCTATAGAAGGCTTACGAGTAATTCTTGAATGCTATGAAATTAGTAACAGTCTCCCATTAGAGCGGGTTTGGATCATAAGTGCTTTGTGGGATGTCACTTCCGTCTTTGAGCCCCAGAAATTCACAGCATTATCCTTCAATGGCAGCTTGTCTTTCGCCCTTCACACAAATATGGTACCAGGTTTTCAAGAGTTCCTTGAGAATCTAAATCCATTTCACTCTAAAATGTATTTCCTACCTCAGTTCTGGGGTGCTGCATTTACCTGTTCATTTCCAATGTACAATATATATGCACAAGGCAAAGGAAGCTGCACTGGGAAGGAGGATCTGGGGAGTCTCCCTGGAACTGTCTTTGAAATGGAGATGTCTGGTCAGAGCTACAATATTTACAATGCTGTGTATGCTGTAGCGCAAGGTCTCCATACCATGTATTCACCCAGAACCAGGAAGAAGACAATGGACAAAGGAGAAAAGTGGAATTTTCTGAAAGTCCAACCTTGGCAGGTGAATTATGGTGCCTCCTAATGTAATGGAAATGTAGCTTTAATCGCATATTGATTTCAATTTTTACAACATTCATTAACAGTATATTTTTACTCCAATCCCATCTGCATTTATCTCAAAGTGACTGGTTGAACAAAACATGATTTTGTTTAGATTACAGGAGATTACTTGCTGAGCCTGAGGGTGGGGTCAAATGCATCATCAGGTTCGTGTCTCTTTACCCCCATAAAAGACCTAAGTCCCACTCCCTTGACTTTTTTCTGGTATTAATTCGCCTTGACCATTAGTAGTTCATATTCCTATTTATAGGTATAATGAAATAAACTTGTACGACTTATGAACTCAATTCTGGTTCCTGATTTCTTGCACCTGACAGGTAGGCAAGAAATAATAATTCTTCTACTCTATTCCATTAGAGTACAAGAATTATATATCTAATATATATTTTAAATTGCTCTTTATAATTTTTAGTCGTCTAGACACTTGGTGGTAACCTCTGAAAGTGCTTATTCCTTGTTGCAATTTTGATTTTTTTTTTTACAGTTATTATTTTAGCTATATGGAAGTAATTTTTTCCCCAGAGGCCTTTTGCTCTCTTTCCAATCTTCAATCCAAAAAATTCTCAAATCCAGTAAAAGATTACCTTTTTTGCAGCATTTTGTGGCTGAGTATAGAGAAAAAAATTTACTACAGTAGAGAGAAGAAAGAATTTCTGCAAAATAATAATAATAGAATGAAGTTGGAGGCAGGGTTATGATAGAATGAGAATACTTACCTTTCTCTAAGATATGTTTGGTGTAAGCTGATTTAATCTGCAAAGGCCATAAAGGAACTTCTTAATCATGTTTTCTGGGACAGGATTCCAATAAATATGTTCTGTTATGATATCCATTAGACATAATGGGCAGCCACAAAGAGTCAAGCCATTTTCGAAAGCCCTTGAAAGCAGAACAAAAAGCAATGGTTGGAAATTAATCAAGGAGAAAACCAACTAAACTTAAGGAGAAATTTCCTGACAGTTAGAATAATTGATCAGTGGAACGGCTTTCCTTCAGAAGTTGTGGGTGCTCCGACACTGGAGGTTTTTAACAGATTGGACAGAAATTTGTCTGAACTGATCTAAGGTCTCCTGCTTGACCAAGAGGTTGGACTAGAAGACCTTCAAGGTCCTTTCCAATTCTGTTATTCTAATATTCTGTTTTTCTGTTATATTTCTTAGCAATAATTTTTGTCTCTCATGAAATGCAAAATTTGGAAGAGCAGTCTATCTGACAATATCTGTATTAATTACTTAAACTTAAAAAATATGAACATATTCCTGCAAAGTAGAATTATGCCTTTCAACATAAAAAATATTAACTCAAATGTTTGGAAGTTCATTAAAAATCAAGCTCAGCAACATTTGGTAAATCACATCATGGAACTGTAAATCCTATTGCCTACTATCAGCACTAATTTCTCACTTACCTCTCTTATCTTTTAGCTTCGTTTATTTCTGAAAAAAGTCCATTTCAACAATAGTGCTGGGGAAGAAATAGCTTTCAATGAGAATGGAAACCTGGCAGCAGCATACGATATCATCAACTTGATTACTTTCCCCAATCGATCCTTTCAGAAGGTCCAAGTTGGACATATTGAACCTCAGAGTTCTCAGAAGGAAGACCTCACCATTAATACAACTGCCATTGTATGGAATCCCAAATTTAAGCAGGTGAATTTTAAAAAAACAACTAAAATGGTGATGTTTTCTCAATTTCTGGAATTTTAAACAAGTAAACTCAGAGTGGTTCCAAGGTCATTTGAAATCTTCCTAATGATGTTAGAACAATTTTGTATCCTGGAAAAATGAAACAATTCTACATTCTACATTATAGTTTCAGATTGTGGGGAAAGAGAGCTTTGCTGGCTGGGGTTATGGACCTTCTGGGTCCAGAGGACTTTCCCACTAATGGGTTTATCTGACTGTTTAGTCGATGGTTGAATCAGTTTGAGAACCAAAGCATGAAAACGGTCAGCACATCTATTTACCACTTCAGCCTAACCTACACATCCGATCTCCCTGGAGTTTTCCAGGGCATGTTTCTCTTGCCACTCACATTTTTTCCTTCCCATAGCCAATTCAAAAATCTGGGGACAGCTGCTGGCCATTTTGATATAGTGGTTTTTTCAAGTGATGTGCTTTGAAAAAGTATAGTACATTTCCTGCTTTAGAGAAGTGAATAGCTTTTCAGCAGGCACTGATGCTTATGCATTTTGAAATACAGGCAAGATTGGACTAATGTGCTATCCCATTTTATTGCTCATCACAGAATAGGAGAAATTAATTGGACATCTACTAAAACTGACCATCACCCCAAGTCTTGCGCTCACCACACCTGCATTTACTTTCCTGATTGGCATAATTTGTTCTCATATGGTAGCCTCTGCGGTAGGAATGCCCCCTTGTACATCTCAGAAGCTGCATTATACTGCTAGTGAAATGCTTTGGATATATGTCAGCTTGTGCCATGTGGTTGGTTTTATATCTTCTTTCTTACCTTCTCTCCCCACCGTGTTGCACAGACATCTTGTGACAAATGATTGTGGGCACCCATTCTGCTTCAATTGTTCATGTAGCTACCTGCTCTCCAGCTGTTTGTCATGCTGGTTACTCCAGTGACTTTTCACCTTGCTTATAGTGTTATGATGCAACTCTTTTTGTGTGACAGTGGATGGCTGATGTTGAAATTCAGAATTGTGAAATGTTGGTGGCCTTGTGATAAAATGTGGTTTCTAGGTATCCCAAAGATGCTTTTTCATGCAGCAACTGGACTTTCTTGTTTTTCTTTGAAGACATTTCACTTCTCATCCAAGAGCTGAAGAAGCTTCTTGTATGAGAAGTGAAATGTCTTGAAAGAAAAATAGCAAAGTCCAGTTGCCTTGTGAAAAAGAATCTTTGGGATAACCATGACCTGGATAACTGAGAATCTCCATAGACATTTAGCTCTAGTTTCTAGGTTTCCATCTTCTGTGTTTACAAGTACATCTAAAAATTTAATTGCCTAATTGTTTTTCCTTCATTGTGAACTGTATATTAGGGAGGATGGAGTTCAGTATGGTATGAAAATCTGTAAGTATATTTCTCTTGACGATGACAAATATCTCATCCACATAGCAGCACCAGAATTTAGGTGTGTAGTTCTGAAATGAATGGTGTTCTAGCTCACCCAGGACTGTTTCTGTAATGATTCTGTCATGGTTCCGACAGACAGAGACAAATAAAGCAGAACTTCAAGGCTTGAAACTTCCTCAAAGAACATGTTTATTATTTACAAAGTGTCAGCATGGTCAAGAGTGAAACCAAGTCTGGATACATACATAACAATTCCCCAATAAAAAGTTAGAAATCCCACCCATAACGCTATGCAAGCAACTATTGCCTTTTCTTGGATGAGAAGCAAAACGTCTTCAAAGAAAAACAACAAAGTCCTATTGACTCATAAAAAAGCATTTGGGATAATAATGACCTGGATGACTGAGAATCTCCATAGACATTTAGCTGTGGTTTCTAGGCTTCCACCTTCTGTGTTTACAGATGGTAATTGCCTAGCTGTTTCTTCCTCCATTGTGAACTGTATGTTGGGGAAGATGGAGTTCAGAATGGCACGAAAATCTTTAAGTGCTTTTCTCTTGATGATGACAAAAATCTCATCCACATAGCAGCACCAGAACTTAGATATGTAGTTATGAAATATATGGTGTTCTAGTTCATGCAGGACTGTTTCTCCTGCATGAACTCCTGACATTCATCAGATGAGGAGCCCCAAACTCATTGGTAGCCTCACACTGCAATGGACAAGGATATACATTCAATTTTCAACTTTTAAGATTGTAGGACAAGCAGGCACAAAAACAGCCAGGGAAGTGATTGAAGCCTGGTCCTCTGGTCAGTCATTAGGAGTGATGATTTACATTTAGCCTAGTACTTAAAAGGTGAGGGCTGTGCAGCACACGCTAATGAGTTAAAAGCCAGCCATCAACATCTAAAAAGCCACTTACCACAGGCACTATAAATACCACACACAGAACAGCCCATACTGTGTTAGAGAGAAGTTCCTAGAAGATGGGCTCCAACACAAGTCCAAAAGCTTGGAATACAACCTCGGGTCCCAGAGACCGACCCAGATTGGATCCTGCAATATTATCCTGGGACACACATTTTGGCCTTCATTTGTGACTACATTTATTATACATGGAGTATCAGGACACCATTCTCCAATGGCAATGCAACACAGAGATGATTGAAAAAGGACGGCAAATGCTAGGCAGGAATATATTTGCTATCAGCTCAAGGAAGTGAGGAAGACTAAATATGGATGTCATTACAAACCAAAATTCTTAGAAATTCAACATTTCTCATATAAGTTTATTTCTTATTATTTGTCAAATTAAGACAGCTCATTAAGTTTGTGAGAGATTCTTCTATGACCATCTTCAGGACTTTCCAAATTCTCTTATGTATGATGTAGGAATTGTGAAGGGACTTTTATCCAAATTTTCAATAGCAGTTAGAAGATTGTTCAGATGTTTACCTCTATTCCGACTGAATCTAGCAATCAGTTCTAGAAATTCAAGAATTAAAGAACTTACAAGAAAATAATTGCTTTAGGATTTATTTACAGAGAATGACTGCTGACTGATTGAGTAAAAACCAGATTATAATTCTTCTTAATTATTTTTTCTTCCCATTCCCATTAGACACCACCTTCTGCCACTTGTGTAGACAGTTGTTATCCTGGGTACCGGAAATTAATTAAGGAGGGGAAACAGGTTTGCTGCTATGACTGTGTCCAATGTTCAGAGGGAAGCATTTCCATCATGGTTGGTAAGAAAAAGAGATCTATGGTAATACTGTATCTCTTTAAAAATACATTATTCTCTAATCAAGTTTGGGTTTTTTAATATAATTTTAAACACAAGAATAGATTGATTGGGATCTCTCACCTGCCTTGTTTTCTTTCTTCTTTTTTTAAATAGAAGCTTTTCTTTATTTAGGTGTGTAATCTCATCTTCAAGAAACATGGCATATTAAATAAACTTTTAAAAAGATTTTCCTAAGGCACAATTTTTGAAAGAGGTTTATTTTCTTTATATGAAGCCAATTCTACTTATCAGATTCAAGTGGTAATATGGAAACTTGCTCAGAATACAACCATACTTTTATGTGTGAAGATTCCAAAAACTGTTTCAGCAAGGAATAATTGTTAAAACCTAATATCAATTCAAAGTGTAGAATTTTTAAAGATCTTATTTATGGTTCTTAGATTCCAAGCAATGTGAGAGGTGCCCAGAAGAACAATATCCAAATGAGAAGCATCATCACTGCATTCCGAAAATTATCACCTACTTATCCTACAAAGAATTCCTGGGAGAAATCCTGACTAGCTTTGCTGTTTCTTTTGCTGTAATCACAATTTTAGTGATGGGGACATTTATCTGCTACCAAAACACTCCCATTGTCAAAGCCAACAATTGGGATATCACCTGCACTTTGCTTTTCTCACTCCTGCTGTGTTTTCTCTGCTCTTTCTTCTTCCTCGGATGCCCAGGGATAGTCACATGTCTCCTCCGGCAAGCAGTTTTTGGAGTTGTCTTCTCCATCGCGGTATCTTGTGTGTTAGCCAAAACCATCACTGTGGTTCTAGCCTTCATAGCCACAAAGCCAGGGAACCACATGAGGTGGTGGGTAGGGAAAAGGCTGTCTGTCTCAGTCATTGTTTTTTGCTCACTTATTCAAACAAGCATCTGTGTTGTGTGGTTGATCATTTCTCCTCCTTTCCCAGAGTTGGACATGCATTCCCAATTGGATGAGATCTTAGTGCAATGCAACGAAGGCTCAGAGATCATGTTTTATGTTGTGCTGGGCTACATGTGGTTTTTGGCCCTCATCAGCTTCATGGTGGCCTTCTTTGCTCGGAAGTTGCCTGACAGTTTCAATGAAGCCAAACTCATCACCTTCAGCATGCTGGTCTTTTGCAGTGTTTGGGTCTCCTTTGTGCCCACTTACTTAAGCACTAAGGGGAAATCCATGGTGGCTGTGGAGGTCTTCTCTATCTTGGCCTCAAGTGGTGGCTTATTAGGTTGCATTTTTATGCCCAAGTGCTATATTATCATGCTGAGACCAGAGCTGAATACCAGAGAGCAGCTAGTTAGGAAAAAGACTAGTGTGGTTTCAAGTGCAGCGTAAATGATGCCCTAATTCCTAATTTAGCTGAAGACAACATTACAGATGATTGGTCAAAGAATTTTATTCAGGAATAGATGTCTTCTTCCATTTTTGAAAGCAATAACATTTAGCTCCATAGCAATTTCAGCACTCTCGGCACAGTTTACCATGTAAGCATTACTTGCATATTGCCCCCAACAATCTGGGTCCTAATTTACCAACCTCAGAAGATTAGAAAGCTGAGCAAACCTGGAGCCTCATCAAGGTCAAACTCAAGGCTGTAGGCAGACTTTGTACACAATACTGTCTTCTAACACTATGCCACCAGTGCTCTTAATGTAAGAAACTTCACAAACACACAATAACAAGGAAAAATGTGCACTCTTGTTTCTGGATGAAGACGTCTTTGTCTTTGATCCATAAATTGAAAACTACATTCAGAAATATAGTGGCTAGGATGTCCACAACTAATCTTATTTATTAAATAAGATTTTATCTTATTTATATTAAATTACAATAAAATGCTAATATGATTTATAGTCGTGTATTTATTGGTGTCCTCTTTCCAACACATTTTCTTTTTTTATCACATTTTAAATTTCAGGGGATGGGGATCAGATTCAAGAGCGACAAAGATATAAAGCTATATAGCTTTATTACTGACATTGCTAATAACAAATCACTATTTTGTTGAAATACTCAGGCAGAAAATCTCCTCAAGTACAGAAGTAATTTGGATGGCCTGACTATATAGCTTCATAGCTTGATAGCTATATTTTATTCAGGAATCTATGTCTTCTTCCATTTTTGAATACAACAACTTGTATACAGCTCCATAGCACTTTCAGCTCTCTCTGCACAGTTTACCATGTTAGCATTACTTGCATATTGCCCCCAATAATCTGGGTCCTCATTTGCCACTAATTTGTGACTCCTTGAGTTTCAGTACAAATATAAACATGAAGCTGGAGAACAAACATCTTAAAATCAGTTAATATATTTTTCCTCTATATCAGCAGTGTCAAATTCGAAACATCACATGACGTGTCATGACATATTGTGACTTTTTTTCCATTGCTGGCAATGGGGTGGGTGCGGTTTTGCTAGGATGCATCTGGCCCGGGGGCCGGCAGTTTGACATCCCTGCTCTATATAATGACATTACCTAATTTTTTTCTTTTAACAACCTTGCAATCCCTTGCATCATGGTGGAGTTGGGGCAACTGAATGGAACTGGCCAGATGTCCTTCCTGATATCTATGCAGAGTTCACAGCAGACAATTACTCATTGTGCCCAGAGAGAGAAATATCTGCCACTACACATAGGATCAAACCCACAGCCTCCTGATTATGAGAAGGGAACTCTACCTCTAGGTCACTTCACCCCTCAATGACATTAGCTATTTAGTTGTAGAACATCTAAAATTGTAGAACATCTTTACATCTCTCCTGTGCTTCTACTTTATCTTTTGATATTATGCTGAAATCTTCCATTCTAACATGTTAAAGATAAAATGAGGTTTAAGTGACAAAGTGGAAATATGTGGCATTCTCCAAAAATGAAAAGAATAGAAAAAGAGATAATTATTCTTTATACTTCTTCAAAAAAAATCAAACTAACAGCTGACAAATACAGTGGTACCCTAGTACTCATTGTTAATTTGTTCAGGGAAGCATGATGAGGACTAAAAACGATGAGTACCAAACAATTTTTTCTCATAAGGAATAATGGCAGCCAATGCCAAGAAGTTCCAGCTTGTGCATAAAACAAACAATGAATACCAGCACAAACTTTTCATGTCGAAATGTATTGACTACCAAATTTGATGAGTTTGAAAACAGTTGAGTACCAAAGTACCACTATATACTTTACTTCATTCATTCGTTCATGGAAACTAATTCCTAAGAGAAGGGAGTGGTGAAACTAGCACTTTGCTGCTGCCCCAAAAATAATACAACTATATCTGTATGGTCACTAAGCTTTTGAGTGATAAAATTATGCTGGTTTATTTTAATGTTATTATTTCTATTGTATTTAATGCATGATTTATTACGTATATGCCATTTTTTAAAGCCACTGAAATTTCTGGGTTTCCTTTTTCAATTAAAGCAATGTAAGAGTTTGGAATAATATAAAGAAAGGTGCCTACCTATTATACCTCTTTGGTTGCCATTTTAAGAAGTTTTTTTTTTTAGAAAAGTAATGACTATAAGACCAACCTTATGGACCTATAAAAATATGGTTTAGTCATAGTGAACCTAATTTCAAGCTGAAAGAAGAATTGCCATTCCTCATCCTTCACAGAGGATGGTGAGTTTTGATAGATGACCAAGCCTCTTCTTTTCCACTGCTTCAGGCAACCTCTTTCAAAGTGCATCAAGATCAAAGCCTTCCAGACAACGATTCAGCCACCATGATAGAGCAGTAGTCAGCAGCTGTACCTGTCTCTTTCAGCAATGAACAGGAAGAAATTTTGACAGGAAGTTGCCCAGGAGTCCAGGGGGAGGGAACAGCCACACCCAATTTGAATGAGTCAAGTAGCTGATGCCTACAAAGTGGTCTCCATTCTCCACAGTTCATCCAATTGCGCTTTTATTCGAACAGAGTTCTAATAATACTACAGAGTTTCTTTTTCCAATATGACCATTTCAGCAAAGCGATGGGCAGAAGAAATAAGTATTTTTTATGAATTAGGAGGTTGTGAGAGGAGAAGGGAGAATTTATCTGGCTATTAAACTATCTCTTCCTCCTTTCAACCAGTATTGCTTTCTTTGGATAGGGAAAGCAAGACTCAGTTCCCCAAATCTGTTATGATCCCCAGAATATTTCTTTCTTGCTTGATGAGGAGTAGCCAAGAGATGGGTTTAGACCATAACATTTCATCAACTGGAAAAATAGTTGAATAGCTTTGGGAAAAGGGTTTGCCTACCTCATAATTGTCAGAATTAATTAATTAAACTTCTTTTTTGGGGAAAGCACAGAACACTTAAACACTTAACAGTTTAACTTTACTGTTAACAACAACTTCATGAGGCTCAGTAGTTTGCATTATGAATCACTCAGATGATAATTATTGTAATCTACAACTTCAGTTATGCATAAAACCAACAGAGACTCTCTTTCATTGTTGCAGACAAAGTGCTGTGATGCAGATGTGCCTGCACTGCTGTGGTTGGAGTCAAATTCCTTTGGCATTCAAAAGGACTCAGATATTTTGCCATGTGTTTTTACTCTCTGTCCTTATCCTCCAGGCTTCTTTTAGCAAGAGCTTTAACCCCATGTGTGGTGACAAACGACATTTTAAGCTTAATTTCCCTGCCTTCTCCAATGATATAATCATTGGAGAATTTGTGTCTACTATATATCCTGAATTGCCTTTACTCCACTTTATGGAACACCCAGAAGGATCCTTGCGTGGAAAGCAAGTACTCTTTTGAAAGAAACCTTTCAAGTTTTTTTTAATGTAATTGAATTCAAGAGATTCACATTAAAATTTTTCCACTGTAGATGAGAATCAAAACTGGTTTAGGCATGATTCTTATTTATAAATCTCTCTTAGTCAGGTGCTAGAATATAGCTTTTGAATATAGCCTTGTAGATTCCTGTTTTTTCATGTGGCTGTTGCTATACAAGAATTAATCTGATCATATAAAAAACCTCCTAAGTTTAATTTTAACAATATTGTTCCTCTATTTTTTTTATGTTGTATGCAAAAAGAAAAAGAATCCTTGTCAAAAATATCTAGCATGATATTTTAATAAAATGTATAAATATATATCTGTGATTCTCATAATATATAATGACATCATTAGGATTTTATCATTTATTCCTTATTTGCAAACACTTCTATATACCAAGACTTTTATTTTAAATAGATTATGGTTGCTTGAGATTTCTAATTATCATGCAGTATGTCTTCTTAGTACTTTAAGGCATAGAAAGGAGGGTCATTTTTATATATATGAGTGTGATCAAATGTTACAGTACATTTTGAGTATTTGGATTGTCTTAACAGTTGACACAATTCATCAGTTTCTGCCCTCCAATTTCATTGCTATGCTACACATAAGAAATAATCCTTTCAATTGCATTAAAACCCTGTTTTAAACTTCTCAAAGTATGACCACATGATCCTCAAGTGACACTCAGACATTCCACCTCAGCTCCTCATTCCATGCTTTCTGCACGTCTGGAATATCTTAACTAGTGAAATTTAAGAATGAAGGTTTTATTCTTTTTAAAACAATGCTTCAGAATATGGGTGCACTCTTCACTTCTCTAATACTCATTAAAGCCGACAAATACATCATTTTAGGCAAAGAGAAAAGCATTATCCAAGAACTCTATCTAAATCCAATCCTTGTCACATTCTAAGATTGTAGAACTAACTGAAACTCTTCTTGCAGGCCCTTGCCTAAAAACCTACAGCATATCCTAGCCTTCAGTTTTGCCATTCAGGAGATCAACATGAATGAGAACTTGTTACCCAACATCACCTTGGTCTCCAAGGTCCATGACAATGGTTTTCAAGCACTGAAAGCCTCTGAGAACCTTTTGATTCTTTTCTTTAATAATAATAGTAGTAAAGTTGGAAGGGACCTTGGAGGTCATCTAGTCCAACCCCCTGCTCGGGCAGGAAACCCTACACCATTTCGGACAAATGGCTGTCCAGTCTCTTCTTAAAACTTCCAGTGTTGGAGCATTTACTGCTTCTGGAGGCAAGCTGTTCCACTGATTAATTGTTCTCACTGTCAGGAAGTTTCTCCTTAGTTCTAGGTTGCTTCTCTCCTTGATTAGTTTCCACCCATTGCTTCTTGTCCTGCCTTCAGGTGCTTTGGAAAATAGCTTGATTCCCTCTTCTTTATGGCAGTCCCTGAGATATTGGAATACTGCTATCATGTCCCCCCTTGTCCTTCTCTTCGTTAAACTAGACATACCCAATTCTCGCAACCGTTCCTTATATGTT